ATTAATGCAAAATAATAAAGGAAGAAAAGGGAACAAAATGAAGCAAAAAAATGCAAGAAAAGATGCAAAAAAGTAGCTTTCGATATTCTTTGCAGAAGTTATAAGTACAGTTACATTTTAACCTCTCTCTAAGTTACTTCATGAGCAATAAATCAGATGTTCATTTTTATTTTTATGCAAAAACTCCATAAAAGATTTCCATTTACCAATAAATGTAGATCATAATAAAAAAATTTGTTTATCCACTTCAGCAAGATCTCTAAATTTCACCATGCTTATACAGCGGACCAAGTTGGATCTCTCCATCTATGTACATACATATAACAATTTCGTTGCAGTAATCAGCAATCCATTCTAGCAATTTTGCTGTTAAACAAAATGATAGTTAAGTCAGTGTGTGTGAGAGGGGGGGAAGGGGAGGGAGAGATAGAGAGCGAGCGAGCAAAGATTGTTGGTTGCTGCTCTCATTCAGACAAAATTATTTCTTATGAAGTCCTATTCGTGACCCAGTTTTTCCCCTTAGTTGATTGGATACTTCCAGCTAGCTCTCACTGCTACCAGAACCTTACCAGACCTTAATCTTTTTCACACTGAAGACTTTTGTTGCCAGGTGCACAAAATTTGGTCATAAACCACATAAAGCACATTGGTTGGAAAGTGATTTTTTTATTACCACTTATTACCATCATATTTGTGAATGATCACTGTCAGAAAAAAATGTTAAAACAGAAGTAGCTGCATGCTACTGAGAAGCACTTAAAACTATTGAACTATTCTCAAGCAGAAAACTGGTACTAAGGAGATATACAGATCTTACGTAATTTTACATTAACAATTCTGTAGCCTTGATAGAACTGACTGAAAGATAAAACTTTGTTCAATGCCATCCAAATAATTTCATATTTGATTTTAATTAGTTAAACAACTTAGAATTGCCCTATTTTGACTATCAACCAGATAGTGTGTTAAATATCATATTTTTTTAAAAAAGAATTGATGCATAATTGTTAAATATCTGTTTTCACAACATTGGATGCCATTTCAATATGCTAGCTTTAAAATTGATAGACTTGTGGTAGTAGCACTTGTTTTTTTCAGGGACATCACTATGTTTCCATTTGCTTCCCATGTACAGTTTGTTGTTTTAGGTAGTAAAAGTGTTCCAACTAATGATCGCAGAGCTACTCCATCTGTTTCCTATACTTTATGGATACTACATTATTTTTTTCTTATTCTCAACTAGGTTGAATTTGTTTTGTCTATTTCTAGAGGAAATTGTTAAGGATCTTCACTATGAGTTCCTTCACCCAACTCTATTGTCAAATTTCAGTTAACTTGGCTCATTCAATGTGATCCAAATTCTAAGCATGTGAGCCGTTAATACCATAACCTTTTTTATTATTGATTTGCAATATCTCTGGCCGTTGCTGCTATAACGATTTTCTTCATCCAAATAATCTCTACCTTGTTTTCAGAGTTATCTGTAACTATTATAACTATTTGGCTTTCCAAGTAGCGACTATTTAAATCATTCAGATTTTACCACTTCACTGATTTTTTTCAGCTTTCAGTTCTGCAGGTCAATAGGTATTTTTGCATTTTTTTCTTAATCTGTAGAAAAAAATCTCTTTACTTGCATTTTCCTAATAACCATCTTCCTCCTCCACTTTGTTTCTCTGTTTTAATATAGGATTCTAAAGTATTTAGTATTCTGCTATAAGACAAATTTACATTTTTTGTTCAGGAGTTTGCTTCAGTTAAAGAATTGTTTGTAACCATAATGCTAAACCTTTCCCTAAGACAGAATGACATCTTTATCTTTTATTTGTCTCATTTAATTAAATGAGAGAGATTACACTATCATCAGAAACACATCAAGTCTCATGTGGCACCCTACCTCCAATTTATCATCTTTAAGATTTATTTACTTAGAACAACATTTAGGAGAGCTTTAATAATTTCACTAAATGTAGCATTATCAAGTTCTGAAGCTTTGCTTTTGTTTTAACTTGGCATTTAAAAGTGATTTATTTCACAGAACATTGTTTTCTTAAATTTACAGGCCTGGAAACAATAAGAATGGCAAAGAGCGTTCAGATCCGCAGCATCTGCGTCAAGAAAATTCTGATGCGGTATGGAATGAACTGGCATACTTTAAAAAAGAACACAAGAAGCTGTTGATTGAAAAGTGAGTCTTTTTATTTTATTTCAAAGTACATATATACATTTAGAAATGTGGGGTTGATATGCTTATCTTCTCCTTGTAGAGTCCTGAGGGCCAAACAGAGAATTCCTTTCACGTGCCCAAAATTAAATCATCTTTCTCTACCAGAAACACGGACGCAAAACATTAGCCTCTTCCTGTGCCCCCTCCTTCCGTATCCCACCCTTAAATCAGTAACAATAAGTTTGCTAGCACTAAATGAAACAGTACTGCACGAGCTAGGGATTGTGTTAATTAATGTGGCTCTCATCTGTTGGAGGTGTCGCTCTTCATTAGCCTGTATTTTACACACTGCTGTGCTTCATTTTTGGAGTGAGGTGGTAAGGGGATAACCTAGCCAGCCATCCTTGTTTGATCTCCTTGATACATACGCAATGCAGAATGCCTCAGCTCTCTTGGTTCCTTGCCCTGTCCTTACTAATCCCAGCTGAGCTCATTATGATGTAGTCTTGCTGCTACTCTTGGAGCCAGAGCTGTCCAAGCTAATTACTGGTAGCAGCAAAGCCGCCTGTTAAGGGTCTGGAGTAGATCTGCTAACATGGGCCTTCAGAGTGACCTGCAAAAAGCACGGGGGAGTTGCTCTCTTTCTTGCTGTGCGCAGCCTGTCCTTCGGGTTTAGTGCTGATCCCTTTCACAGCTCTTTTAGCTGCAGTAAGGGTAAAAACTTGGTGAAGGAATTCTTACTTTAGAAAACATCCAGTTTGCTTCTTTGATCTTATAATTCATAGACGATTATATTCACCCTGGTAAAGTCAGAAGTTTCCCTTTCATACGAGACAAAAGGAAGCTGGTTGGCATTGCATAATTAGCCTTTTAATGATGTTTTAAAATGTCCTTTGTCAAGTTGATTTTGTAATTTAGCGATGAGCACACTTGAAACTCGGAACAGTTTTCTGTTCTTTGGAGACATCCGTGTAATGCTCAGGCATGCGCCTGCATTCTTAAAGCAATCAGAATATTAGCACCATGGTAGAATTTTAAAGATTGCTATTCATTTAGCTGTTAGAACTACCACAATAAAATCAATGTCATAACATCATATGGTTTATTTTTGTGTCAATTATGACAAGTAGAACTTTGTAGGAAAATATGGTATTTTCCAGAATTGTGACCATGAATCTCAGAATTCCCGATAAACTTAACATAACTGTCTTGGGAATTTTGGAAGTTGGTCTTAAGATTTCTGGAGAGGATTATATTGGTATATCTAGAATAGAATACTTTTATTGGCCAAGTGTGATTGGACACACAAGGAATTTGTCTTGGTGTAAATACTCTCAGCGTACATAAAGAAAAGATACATTCGTTAAGAATCAAGAATCATAACGTACAACACTTAATGATAGTCATAGGGTACAATCAACAATCAAATCATACTAGGAAACAGTCAATATAAATCGTAAGGATACAAGCAACAAAGTTACAGTCCTACAATCACAAGTGGGAGGGGAGGGATGATAAGGAGTGATGAGAAGATTAACAGTAATAATAGTGCACACTTTGTAAATAGTTAAACAGTGTTGAGGGTATTACTTGTTTTAGCAGAGTGATGGCTTTTGGGAAAAACTGTTTTTGTGTCTAGTTGTTCTGGTGTGCAGTGCTCCGTAGGATCGTTTTGAGGGGAGGAGTTGAAACAGTTTATGTCCGGGATGTGAGGGTTCTGTAAATATTTTCACAGCCCTCTTTTTGACTCGTGCAGGATACAGGTCCTCAAATTGAAGGCAGGTGGGTAGTAATTGTTTTTTCTGCAGTCCTAATTATCCTTTGAAGTCTGTGTATGTCCTGTTGGGTTGCAGAACCAAACTGGACAGTTATAGAGGTGCAGATGATAAACTCAGTAATTCCTTTGTAGAACTATATCAGCAGCTCCTTGGGCAGTTTGGGGTTTCTGAGTTAGTGCAGAAAGAACATTCTTTATTGTGCTTTTTTGATGATGTTTTTGATGTTAGGTGTCTATTTTAGGTCATGTGATATAGTAGAACCTAGAAATTTGAAGGTCTCTACTGTTGATCTAATCTTCAACAATGTAGCTGCTATTGGGGACCTTCTCTATGGAAATTCTGAATACCCCACAATTAAATGAAAAATATGGTGCTTTTTCAAACTTCTGAAATTATTTTTACTTAATAAATAAACAATAATTTTGACTACAAAATCACAGTATGGCAGAGGCAGTGTGGATATTCTATTCTGGCAATATGTTTTGGATGGTGCATTATTCTGATATATTTTTTCGAGATCACATGTTTCCATGTGCATATCCTTGTTACTCAAGGGTTATTTTGTATATATCCTAACACAGGTATTTGTGGTTTTGATGGTATTGTCACAGTTCAGTTTGTCTTTACTTCATTTATGAAGGTTCGTCACACAATCAGTCAGATGTTTAGGTGTATAGACTCAATTTGGTATTTTTATCCATCTATATTGTTAGATGATGTTAAAGATATTCCACAGGATGATGATAACATTTTCAACAATCTCTCTCTCCCTCCTCCCCCTCCTCACTTCAACTGAAATCAGTGAACATACCGGTGCCTAATAGTCCTAAACCCTGTTTCCCCACACACACAATCAACAACTCTGTGAGGTGGGTTGGGCTAAGAGACAGTGATTGGCCGATAGTCACCTAGCTGACTTTCCTTCCTAAGGCAGACCTTAAGTTCAGTCTCCTAGTTTCTAGGCCAGCACCTTAACCACTACCCCAAACTAGCTTCAGTAACACTAGCAGAAATTAAATTAGTCATTTATTCTGTTTTTTCTTTAACTGTATTGTGATTAATCTAAAATAAATTCCTAATCTCTAAAATGGACACTGCTCAGTCTATTTCCATTTAAAACAACTATTAATAATTACAAGGTTGGTTTCAAATGTGGACTACAAAAATTCAGATGATCATGAAGATTTAATGTTACTGGTTCTTTTTGATACATTTTTGTATTTACTAACTAACTTTTTGCAGGCCAGATCTGGTAACACTATTAGAAAGGTTATAAATTACTATATTTTCCATGAAGATTTTGAACAATCAGTGGTCACTACTGAAAAAATAGTGACTGCATTTTTTAAAATAATGCTTTGGAGATTTCAGTAGCACCTGCTAATGTTTATTTCAGTTGTATTTTATCCAACTTGAACTCTGATCACTATTTTGAATGAAAAAGCTACATGATACTAATATCTAATAAATTTTTTCAAAGATTTTTACCCATCAGTCATGGGTAAAATAAACCTAAAAGCACTGAACCTAAATTTAGGATTTCTTTCAAACTGCATTTTAACTATGGAATAAAATATTTTTAAATTTTGAGTAACGGACCAATGTGTACGCTGAAAAAAAATGTCACATCTAAAAATGTTACATCTAAATGGGATTTTACTCATGTTTACTTCAGGCACCCAATATCTGGTAAATAAAGTCCATTAAACCAGGGGTATATTGTACTCTTACTGTTCTAATTAACAATTCCTTCTTTGCCATTGGATCACATAATTTTTGGCATCATTTTTGCCTTTTTTGTTACATATCTATAACAGATTTTAGACTCTAAAACAGCAATTTGACTCTAGTGTGTGTGTGTGTGTGTACTTCTGAGAACAGTATCTTAGATGCTTATTTGTGTTTCAGAACTACTACCTTCAGTATTACAGCAATTATAAGTAAGTTTTGCAGTGTAGAATCCCTTCAAAACTGAAGTTGCCCTATCTTTGGCATCTATATTTGAAATAAGTATTAGTCTATACTGTACTGTGCCTATTTGGAGAAGTGCTAAGGCTAGAGAGCATTCTTAATAAACCACTGTGTACTTATATCCTTTTTGTAGCTTCTGAGCCCTTTAAAAAGGTATGTGATTCTAATTCCCATTCCAGGGAAGATTTGTTATAAAACAAATGCCTTTTACGACCGCTCAATATCCTATCTCAAGATGCTATGTCCCAACATGGAGGAAGAGGAAGCCTATTTTCTTCAATAAACACATTGAAAAGTTCACATTCATAGTTCTGATTCCGAACATATTTTTCTGTGAAATTTAAATGGTTGCCTTCTCTTTCCCATGCCCTCTCCCTATTTGCCTGTCTGCCTCGGCTTTATAATGCTCATGTAATTTATATAATAATTCCCATAGTCAATTAAACATACTGAAAACAACACCATTCTTTTGTGCTTATGCCTGCATGTAAAGAGAGAGAGAGAGAGAGAGAAGGAGAGCATCTTAGTAGGTTGTTACTTGAGGTCATAAATACAAATAATATGACCATTATAATGTTTTCATTTGATGAAGCATGCTTATATGCCAAGTTATCCTCTCTCTTAAGGCCATTTTCCTACTTTACACTTACATTCAAACAGTGCTGCCTACTATGGAGCAAGGAGAAAATCAATTAATTGTGATATGTAATAAAAATGATGTTAAGTAACAAGATCCAAGAAATGCAAACAGTAAAAAAGTGATTGGTTTCATTTATCTTTCTTTCTTGGGAAGGACAGGGAAGATCAGTTTACCGAATGAGAAGAGACAAACCATTCCTTAATCATTTCTCTTCAACCATATCATGTTTCTCCCAATTACTATTCCAAGAATACAGAGGGGGGAAATGTGAGCATTATTATTAAATAATTATATCAATTCTACTTTCAGAATTAAAATACTGACAAAATCCTTTCTGTTGCTAGCTGTTGCTTTCATTTATATCTAGGTGTACATACGTCCATGTACTTAAGCATGATTTTGAAGGAAAGCTGCTATGATGAGGTTGGAATTTTAATTTGGAGGAAAATGCAGTGCGGAAAGGGAGCTTTTCTTTTATTTCATCTTCTAGCTAATGCTCAATATGAAAAATGTTTGGGACTGGAGAGAAAAAACTGCTGTTGTTCTGATTTTGTAATTTTGTTGTGCTTTGTGATTTGCCAAACGTTCTTGTGGGTGTGGTGTGTTTTGGGTGTGCTATGAAAGAGTTTATATACAAATCCTTATCTAAATGCAAAATCGTTCACAGAGATTACAAAAGATCGGAATGAAATTAATGTTTAAATGATTCTAACTACCATTTAAGCAGTAAGAAATTTTGAGTTATTGTATGTCTACTTCTTGGTCTTAAATGGACTAAGGGATAATGCAGAGTAACCCTTTTGTCAAAAGATTTAGTGATATTTTTCACATAGAATTTGTGGTTGTGAGGACTTACTAATATAATTTATTAATAATTCACTCAAAGGGAACTTAGTTCGAATGTTAAAGTAACAATAAAATGTAAATTCTCCTTCTGTGCTTTAGTTTTGATTAGTATCCACTGAGGCTTGATTCAGATATTATTATCTGTGCAATATTGGAGAAGTTTCAAGGTAGTTTGGAGCTACATTGCTCTGACATCAGGTGAGCAGCTTGCTCTAACAATGATTGCTTTCCATACTGCCATCATCATACAGTATGCAGAGAACAGTGTATTTCAGTAGGTTTTTAAGAGGTAATAAAGTCAATCTCCAGATATGTTTCATGCAGATTGAAGTTCAATTCCTTTTTTATTCTACCTCATAGTCATACAGTGAACCATGAAAAATCATGTCCCTATTGAATTTCTCATTAATTAATTTACTTCGGGGAAAAAATCTTCATAACCTGCTGCAGTTTATTTATCCTATTCCTAAATTTTCATACATTAACCATCAACCATAAGAGGAGAAAGTGGATATAAAAACTATTAAACAGACCAAAACACTGTTCTGTAACAATGATTAATTACAATACAATATTAAAGCACTGGAGAGAAATAAGTATGCATCTTCAGTCATTTTATTTGATTCCAAAGATTAAATTCAAATCAATTTCTTAAAATAATCTACAGGAGTATAGCCCCCAAAACACAGAACTATTGCTCAGATCTCATCTAAAAATGAAAGAAACGAAGAAATGTATGTAGAATATCTCAAGTATATAATCTTAAATACAGTATGTGATAGGTCTTTTTCATGATAATATACCCATATTTGTCTGCTGAAACATAGGAAAAATCTTATGCATAAACAAGGAAAAATGAAGTAACTTGAATGATCATTAGCCATGAAAAAATTGCTTTTATTTCGGTGCTATATATTGTAAGGAAGGGATGTGGTGGCTCAGTGCCTAAGATGCTGAGTTTGTTGATCAGAAAGGTCAGCAGTTCAGCGGTTCGAATCCCTAGCACCGCATAACAGAGTGAGCTCCCATTACTTCTGCCAACCTAGCAGTTCGAAAGCATGTACAAAATTTTGCAAGTAGAAAAATAGGGACTATTTTGGTGGGAAGGTAACAGCATTCCATGCGCCTTCAGCATTTAGTCATGCTGGCCACATAACCACAGAGACTTCTTCAGAGAGTGCCGGCTCTTCGGCTTTGTAACAGAGATGAGTACCACCCCCTAGAGCTGGAAACAACTAGCACATATGTGCAAGGGGAACCTTTACCAATCATGTGTTTAAATAAATGTCCTGTTTGTTTAATATGTTTTCATATCCATCAACTCTTTAAATTATGGGCACGATAATAACCTTCAAATCCTGTGCAACAAAAATATGGGATTCAAGGCTCTTTTATTCCCTGTCTGCCTTTAGGATGGTATTCATCTCAGCAGGGAAAATAATAAGCAAACTGATTAAGAAGATAATTTCATTTATGCTACAGTATATCTTGAATGATAAGCTGGTCAATTTGCCCCAGCTTTTATTTGTTTTTAAATTCAGCCAACTATAATTTACAAAAGCTATTAAGCAAGCTCATTTAGCAAAAACTAGAATATGTTGATCCTGGACTAGCTGAGTGTTACCAAACTGAAATCACTTTGAAATAGCCCAGATTAACCAAGGTTTTCATTTCATCATTTTCAGAAACGTAAGTAAAGCTAAAAAAAATAAAGCGTGTTTTTACTATTCTATTATTATTAACTGACATTGTTTCGATGGCCTTATCCTCAGTGTATGTGATAGGGTGTTTTGGGGGGCCAAGGGGGTTGCTTTCTCACATAGCAGAGATCAGAACCTGCTCCAAACTATCAGTTGACCAGCATCTTTGGAAAGATTATGTTTTGTCCTTGTTGCAAAGAGATGCACCTGAATGTTGGATGAGCAAAGGGATTTTTTTTTTTTGTCATGCTTATATTTGATTGTTGAAAAATCATGTCTGGTTCAAAATTATTCTTCATTATATAGTCTAAAAAAACCTGGGTGGATTTCATAAAAGTATACCGAACTATGCCATCCTTTTCATCTCAGAGGTAGTCCTTATTTAAAAACATCCTCATTTAATAACTGTTTTCAGTGATGAAAAAGTAATTTTGCAACAAGTCTTCAAATTTACTACCTGAATGCACAAGTCTGTGAAGGAAGAGCATAACCACATTCGCAGTTAATGGCAACTTCACTTAACAACTAATTTACCTGTCCCAACTGTGGTCACTAAAGGAAGAGTACTTGCAATTTATGACATTTGTCTTGACTCTTTGACTATTATTGGTATCTTTATGGAATAAAAGGAGAAAAAAGTCAATAATATTATGAAGATTCATTGAAGAAACAGAGTTCTGTTGTTAGCTAGCTTGGAAAGGTGTTTTCTATTAACACTTCTATATTACGTAAGTTTTACTGATATCAGAATGAGAAGACTCATTTGCATTAGAAATTGCTAGAACATTATAATTTTATGGTTTTTTATAAGCAGGTTTTTTATTTTTGTCCATTTGTATTATGCAACTATATGTTTTAAGATTCATGGTAGTCTATAATATATACTAAAATACAATAAAAATTTCCAGACTATAACAAAATATTAAAGAAACAATATTTAATAAGAATAATTATAGAACACTAGAATAGAACATATACAATGACAATTTGCTATATTCTCCATAGGCCCACTGCTTTATATTTAAAAGCTTCCAAAAGGCCATTAGCAAGGAGACTAGCCTGACCTCTAAAGGGAAGATGTTCATAATGTGGAGGCTGAAAAGCAAAAGAGAATTTTGGGCCACAGCATTCCACTCCATGAAACTTGGGTATCAGACAGGGTGCAACCTCCCTATCTAGATCCCAACATAGATCTCAGCCAGCACAGTCCATACAGTTTTCATATGAAGTCCAAATGAGAACCTGATTTAAATGAATCCAGATAATCTGTTTCCTCTGGGTTGCTCTGAAATTAATTCTAAGCCATGGCTCCCATAGTCTTCCCTAAAAGGGAAATATTGAAGACAGAGTAATAATTATGTAACATGCCAGGATCAAAGGAAGGCTTTGTAATAAGAAAGTGCATCGAAGGTTCCTTCAAGGATATCTCCACCCAGATTGAGACATGGGATCCACAACATGCCTCTCCTAATGGGACAAGTAGATGTAATAAGGGAGAGAGAGTCCTTCAGATAACCAGATCCCATGCCATGTAGGGCTTTAAAGATCAAAACCAGCACCTTGAATTGGATCCAGAAGCAAACTGGTAATCACTGCAGTTCACAGAGCAGAGGTTTAAAGTATGACCTGGGGGGCCATGCATAACTGCCCTTGCCAGATCCTTTTGCATGGGTTGAAGCTTCCAGATACCCTTCAGGGATATAACCAGGATGTGAGTAACTGTAAGCAGAGCCTCACAATCCAGGAACGGGTACAAATGGTGCATAACATGGAGTTGTGCAAATGCCCTCCCAGTCAGAATTGCCATATGCTTGAGTAAGAGTTGTGAGTCCAGAAAGACTCCCAGATTTTGCACTGAGTCTGTTTGAGACAGATACCCCATTCAATACCAAGATACTAAAATCCCAGATTCAGAAGGTCCTCAGTCTTATCAAACCACTCAGTCTTATCAAAGTTCATTTGGAGCCTGTTGTTCCCATTCCAGACCCACACAGCCTCTAGGCACTGCGGCAGGACATCAAGAGCATCCCTTAGGTTGCCAGAGATAGAGAGGTACAATTAAATATCATCATATACTGATTTTAACTCACCCCATGGCAATTGACACCCTTTTTGGAGATTGGGAAGTACTTTTTCCAATCCAAGCTTTTACTCAAGCTTTAGTCACTTAGGATTTTAACTACTGTGATGTTTTTACATGGAGCCACCTTGAAGACCACTCATAATCTATTGGAACTTGCAATGAGTTATCAGTGCTTCCTGTTTTGCTCATCTACTCCACTTGCTACACTTGTGCTTCCAGGAACAATTGAAGGTATTGGTTGTCACCTATAAAGCACTTCATGGTTTAGGATTTGGGTGCCCACTTTTCTGTAGTTGTTTTGCCCATTCAGTAAGAGATAGTCCCATTCCAGGTACCATCTATAAAAGACTGTCATCTTCAGAAACTAAACAATAGACAATCCCTGTAGTTGTGCTGAAGAGACAAACTTATCTGGCCCTGACCCTATTGTATTGTCACAAAATTTTAAAGATCTAGGTTTTTCAATAGGCCTTGAAGCAAGATAGCCACTGATATAGTCCCAGGCATATCTATGTTCCTATTTTATTATTACCAGATCTTTTTTTATTCTACTGTGATGTGATGTGAAATTATGTCCTTCAAGCACTGATTGATAATAACCTCCTTGACTTCTTCAAGGATATATCTCAAAGAATTATCTAAGAACTTCCGAATTGCTACAGATTCCCTTCCATCCTCTCCATAAAAAGTATTGACTCTTCTGTTTCACTAAGTTGGGATACTGTATATCTTTCTTTTCTTTATCTATCTTCCACATTAAGTGTGATTATATAAATCTATTGCATTGATCAAGCCTAGTACCACAGTTTTGATTCTGCTCCAGTTTTTGTAGCGTGTATCTTTTTTGACCTTTTGGGGAGGCATTCTTTTTATGTAATACTGAATTCTTTATGTGTATTTCCAGACTGAATTTAGAGGAGGAACTGGATCAGATGAAAGTGCAAGCCTCTAGAGATAAAAGTACAATACAAGAGTTGAATATGTGTCTGCAGCAAGAAAGAGAAGGTAAGTTTGATTTAGCCATCGTGATAATCTACAAATACTTCTCGCTTAATCTCCTTGTAGCTGTGATCATTGCAACATCCCTGCAGTCAAGTTATCACTATTCAAGCAACCAGTTCCTAATTACCATAGTTGCAGCATCCTCAACCATATGAGTACCACTTGTGATCTTCTCTGCAAGTTTCAATAAGCAAAGTTAATGGAGACACCAGCAGGAGGTCACAAATGGTGACCGCGGGGTATTATGAATATGCAAGTTTGCCTAATGATGGCAACTGGGACTGCTGCAACTGCTGTCATAAGTTGGTGCAGTCACATGACTTCATGTCTTATGACCAAGTTGTTTAGTGACAGAGTTCCTGGTCCCAGTTATTGTTGGTGAATATTATTTGTACTTGTACACTTACACAAGTCTGTAAGTGCTATTTGTATGAAAAAATTATGTTTATAATCCAAATTATGAACTCAGCAATTGTTTTACAGTTCACATTTATAGTTTCTTTACTTTTTGTAATGATAACATTTTGATTCCTTCAGACATATGAAGAAACAACATTTTTGAGAACCTCTTTCACTTTCACATTTGATTCATTGGCACTGGCATCCTTCAGTCTCAAGAGACTGTGGTATCTGCTCTGAAAAGAGGTCCTAAAACAACATCTAGTGTGGCTAAAAAGGCCAATTTGAAAGTGGCAATCCCTTCTACACTGAGGACAGATACAGTCTGTGTCCTGTCCAGCCCCCAGATTTTGCTGATTACGGGACTGCCTCTTTGCTTCAGCCTGCCGAATGAGTGTCTTCAAAAGGCCATGCTGCGTCTTTAGCCTCCAAGCTGAACAATCAGAGGTCAAGGTTTCCAGCTGTTGATGTCCATTCCCAAGGCCTTTAGATCCCACTTGCAGATATCCTTATATTGCAGTTGTCGTCTCCCTCTAGGGAGCTTTCCCTGCCCTGATTCTCCATACAAGAGGTCTTTTGGAATCCAACCATCAGCCATCCTCATGACATGCCCAAGCCAGCATGGACATCGTTGTTTCAATAGTACACACATGCTAGGAATTCCAGCACGTTCCAAGACTGCACTATTTGGAACTTTGTCATGCCAGGTGATGCCAAGAATACGGTCAAGGACAGCACATATGAAAGATGTTCAACTTTCTCTCCTGCCATGCGTAATAGTCCAAGACTCGCCGCACTACAAGAGTGTGCTCAAGACAAAGGCTCTATTGACCTGAATCTTCGTATGTTCCACAGCTTCTTATTAAGCCATACTCTTTGTAAGTCTGGAAAATGTGGTGGCTGCTTTACCGATACTTTTATTTAGCTCAGTGTCTAAAGAGAGAGTGTTGGAGATAGTTGAGCCAAGGTGCACAAAGTCATCGACGACCTCCAGTTCTTGTGCAGAAATTGTAATACAGCGAGGTGAATCCATGTCCTGACCCTTGACTTGTGTTTTTTTCCGGCTGATTTTTACTCCAAAATCTTGGCAGGCCTTGCTAAAATGATCCATAAGTTGTTGAAGGTCTTCAGCAGAGTGAGCAGTAATGGCAGCATTATCAGCGAAGAGAAAATCCTGCAAGCATGTCATCTGGACTTCAGTCTTTGCTCTCAATCTAGAGAGATTAAAGAGTTTTCCGTCTGATCTGGTCCAGAGATAAATATTCTCTGTTGCAGTTCCAAAAGTGTGTTTCATCATGACAGCAAAAAAGATCCCAAATAGAGTTGGCGAGAGGACACAGCCCTGCTTCACTCCACTTCAAATGTTAAGCCATCAAAAACTATTGTGCCCTTCATTTCCTCATGGAAGGACCTGATAATGTTGAGGAGCTGAGGTGGACATCCAATCTTGAGGAGGATTTTATATAGGCCATCCCTACTAACCAAGTCAAAAGCCTACATAAGATCTATGAAGGCTACAAAAGTGGCTGTCTTTGTTCCCTACTGCAACTGTCTTAAGGGAGAATACCATATCAGTAGTAGACCTGTTGGCTTGGAATCCGCATTGTGATTCTGGATAGACTCTCTCTGCAAGCACCTGGAACCTCTTCAGTACAATACGGGCAAGCAGCTTCCCTACAACACTAAAAAGAGAGATGCTGCGGTAGTTGTTACAGTCACCCCTGTCGCCTTTGTTCTTATACAGTATGACAATATTTGCATCTTTCATGTCCTCCACCTACCCTCCAACAAAGACAGAATATTTCATGCAGTTCAGTGCGGATGATCTCTTTGCAGCGCTTCAGAACTTCAGCAGGGATGTTATCTTTCCCGGGGGCCTTGGAGGCAAGGGAATCCAGGTCCCCGTTGAGTTCTTCTAAAGTTGGTTCACTGTCAAGCTCCTCCAGGACAGGCAGGCACTCAATGTTATTTAACATTTCTTCAGTTGCAACATTTTGTCTGGAATATACCTCAGAGTAGTGCAGCACCCAGCGTACCATCTGCTGTGCTCAGTCCTGGATGACCTCACCTGTAACTGACTCGCAAACAGGACAGAGTGGAGGAATGTGCTCAAGCACTCAAGGAAACTCTCCCACGCCCATCTGAAACAAATGCATCTGAATGATGGGAACACTTCAAGAATGCTGTTTATAACACCACCTTGTCAGTATTTGGTAAGGAGACCTGAAAGACAGAAGATTGGTTTGAAGCCCATTTGGAGGAGCTGACACCAGCCATTGAGGAAAAGAGAACAGCTTTAATTGCATATAACCTATAGCGTAACCTATAGGTTCTGCGAGCTGCTCGTAGTAAAACCCAACAGACCGCCAGGAGATATGCTAACAATTACTGGCTGCAGCTTTGCTTTTGGATCCAGATAGCAGCTGTCACAGGCAACCTCAGGGGGATGTATGATTTGATCCATTATGCTGGTTATTATATAGTACTTATAGCATTTAGCATTTTTTAGACATATATTTCGTTATAGTACAGCACTCTCTGCTGATGGTTTACAACATCAGCATATTGCCCCCAACAGTCTGGGTTCTCCTTTTACCAACTTCGGAAGGAGTCTACCTTGAGCTGGTCAGGATCAAACTCCTGGCAGTGGGCAGAGTTAGCCTGCAATGCTGCATTTTAATCACTGCACCACCATGATTCTTACATTATTTAATTATATAAAACTAAATCACACTGGTCCTTTAAAACTGGTTATTCATATTTCCTTAGTGACTAATTGAGGATTATGAAACAATACTTTCATTTGAATTTGACTATACTTTTTTAGGTTTTGCTGCCATAAGCAAGAGTCAGTATTAATAATACAAAAATATGTGATTTTTTTTCAAAAAAGTCATATAATACCCTGGAATCACAAATAGTCTAGTATGTATTTGGGGAGATAGCATAACCATATGTGTAAGGAGTGTGTCTTTTTAAGTGGTCTTCCTTGCTTTAAACAAGACCATATTGTTATATAGCTCGGAGGAAAGGTCTCTGAGAACCTAATAGATAGGGAAGAAATGTTATCTTAAACAGAATTACACAGCTAGGTAGAGCTTTTGTTCATAGCATCATTCCACCAAAAAATTAGGGATGAAGATGATGTTACCATATGTGGTATGCATTCTGACAGATAAATTAAAATTATTTGCATGACTGAAATGAATATTTTAATGAGTCCCACTGTTGTCTGTCACATTTTTTTGTCCTGAATATTCTAGAACATGGAAAAATATAAAGACCCCTTTTCAATTTTTAAGGCTTACCTAAAATATAGAGTATTTGTTAATATATGGTAGCTGTATGTAATTCATATATCTAATTCTGTTATATGATCAACATTGAATGCTTTGATCAGTTTATTATTAAAAACTAAAAGAAAAACTCTGAAAAGTAAATGTAGATGTAAAAGCTACAATTGATATTCAAATGAGTGAATATTTTGAAAAAGATTAAAAGTAGAAAATGTATGTAGTACCACTGTGCTAAGGGACTATGCTTGGAACTAACATGGGTGAAAATAGATTTATATCAAGGTAAAGGTACATATTCCCCAGCTGCACAATTTTTTTCCCTCTTCTGTTATCTTTAGAGTATTGCTCCATTTATTTCATGAACACAGAAGTTTTAATTGGGCATGACAAGTTCCAAAGACAAAAGAAAGGGCTAATTCAGTCTAACAAACTTGTTAGTCACTGTTTATGCCGAGATGATTGCTAACCTGCAGAGAGTTGCATGTTTTTCTTCCACTTCTGCTTTGTTTGTAAATTGAAGATCATACCTGACCTACTCTTATCTACTTATAGTGCTGAATGGGGTGGTTAAAGGAAATGTTTCCCGCATATTCATAGGTATATTTTATAAAGAATGTTATTTCCTAATATTTACAACTTCTAAGCAATTTTGATATAATTATTTTCCTTTATATAACCTACTTACCATTTCGCCATTGTTAGCTGTAGAGCATTTTATGAAAGTCAGCTGAATATGTGAACTGACTTCATTGGAAAACATTGGAGCAACTTTTGGGCAGACTACAGATTTAAGGGTGTAGCAATTAAGAAATGAAACACAGAGCAAGGTATTTGTGAGTGAATACATGTTCCTGACAATTTCCAGGAGATTGTTAATTGGAATGACTTATGGATAGCGGTAGAAGTTATATCGGAAATAATTTTCCTACAGCAGTTAAGTGTTCAAACAATTCTCATATTGTAGAACTCGTATTTCAGATTATATCCGTTTTTGTACAAAATGGCTAATACATTACACAAGCTAATTTTGAGACGTCAAGTTTGGAGCTAGTCTGGGGAGAATTGGTTGTGATATTGCCAAGTGCTCAGAACAATGAATAAATTATTGGTCACCAGTTGTGGTTTTTTAGGTTTTAATTCTTTTAAATCTCTAACGTTTCAGTGGAATGTCATATGTGATTTATTCTATACGGTGTATATTTCATCTAACAAAAACACGAAGTTAAAGTTTTGCCCACAAAAATTGGTCCATAAAGTTTTGTTTGCTCTGTTTTACTCGGCACTCTGTTCCTCCTAAAAGGGATACAAATCAGAGAAAAAACTGACAGTGTAGGTATAAAGATATATCTTTCTGTAGCAAGGAGGCGTAATCTTAAAAAGTATGAAGATGCAAATGGAAGTATACCATTCTCAACCTATAGATCTAATGTGCCTTAATCGTGACGATGCTACCAGAATTATACAGCATAGGATTTTTTTTAAACATTCACTGATTTGAAACTGACCAAATGGCTTGACAAGAAAATAGACCACAATATTCTTACTCAATGAACTCATTTCTTTAAAATGCTTTAGTATTGCTTTACTGGAATATTTACTGGAATTACAATGAATTATTTATGCTTCCTTCAAGAAGTGCTCCATAAACTTGGTGAAGAAGATGAGGTCAACCACAGTACTCCAAAGAAGAATGTGAAAGAAATATCAGCACAGACATTACAGAAGGTATCCTAATCAGTAAGATATTGAGCTCCACATGTTAAATCTCAATTTCAGTGTAAGGGATCATATATTAAAAGACAACATTGATGAATATAAGCCATGTGTTATTTTTTTAAATTACCACTCATAACTCAAAATAATTCGGTCAAAATTGTGTTAGAAATCAATGCTCTATATTTGGCTCCATTCAAGCTAATGGTTTGTGCAGAAAAACAAATGTGCACTTTCTCAGTGTTGGATTATTCTTACTCTTATTCTAAATATAGGGTTTTATAAATATAAAGTGTGTCTCACTTTAAAGATGGAAAACATTGCATATGTTCTGTATGTATTTTGCACTGTATTAACAAATAATTAGGATCATGTCTTGGAAATCTGCATATCATCCCTATTTCTTGAAAGATTTAACGTAGATTTTTTTAAAAATATGTCAGAACAGAACAGAACAGAGAAGATGTTATGTGGCAAAATAATAATAACAAGAACATCTCAGACTTAACCATTATGGATGAGAAAGGCAAAAAAGTCTTGAGAGTGGATGTAGTAATATGAGAGAAGAGAACGAACTGGAGAAAAATCACAAAACACAAAGGCCCGCAAAAATAGAAGTAAAACGACTGTGACAAAAGAAAGCCAAGACAATACCAGTGGTTATTGGGTCCTTAAGTGCAATCCCAAAGCAACTGGAGCCTCACTTTAACACTATCAGCACTGACAAAATCACCATCATTCAATTGCCAGCTTTGTTCATAACAGTTTGTAACAATACTATGATGATACCTCTAACACTGTCAAACAACCACATCTACCTTTCCCAGGTCCTTGGGAGATCTCGATAGGTGGATGAAAATGCCAAATCCCGTCTAAATGTCTGGCTGACCAACCATAATGAAGCACACGCACACTTTTATGGACATACATAAGCATATACACACACAAACACATACACAACTACATAGATCAAGTCAAGACAGTGAACCTAGTATTCCTGCCTCCTATTTTCTCTCTCGCTGAGGAAGTGACTGCCTGAAAGTCATTCATCCAGCTAATGAGTTTAGCTGTGTCCACTTATTTTTCCATTTGTAAAATAGCTTGTAAGTACAATAGTTTTCAGCAGACCAGGGGATTGTACATATTGCTATATTTCTAGGTAATGAAGGTTCCTATCTCATTATTACTAAATGACAAACATATTAAAGTAATAACTGAGAACAAGAAATGCTCACATTCATTTATCTTAAGATAGAGTGAGTAACGGAAAACAAATTGAGTGATAGAGGATGTCGCATCTGTCACCCAGGGGATAGAAGAAGTTTATGATACATAATTTTAATGACATAACTGTCAAGAATGGTTTGGCATAATACAGGAACTCTTGATGATGTCTTTCCCAAACTACTGGATTATAGTAGGTAGTAATAGCTTTAATAATTCCTTCTAGAGCAATTTCTAATTTGAAATTCTGGAGTGAATAACATTCAGTTATGGTGTTAAATTTCTTTTCTGGCACAGCAATCAATCACAGTGCGTGAGTTACTTAAGCCCAAATTCAAAAATTTGCTTACAACAAGATACATTGACATAACACTTATTAGTTGCTTTATTGCAAGCAAGAATGAATACTTCTTTAGATGTTGTTCCTGTGAGCATAACAGTTTTGCCTGGTGTGGTAATTTTTGCATCACCAATTTTAGTATTCATTATCGATGTTTTGGTATAACGTCCTTTCTTTTAACCACCCAAAAATGGTATAGGTAGTTCTCAACTTACAACCACAATTGTATCCAAAATTTCTGTTGCTAAGTGAGACCATTGTTAAATGAGTTCTGACCCACTTTACAACATTTCTTGCCACAGTTGTTAAGTGAATCACTGCAGTTGTTAAATTAGTAACATGGTTTTTAAGTGAATCTGGTTTCCCCATTGACTTTGCTTGTCAGAAGGTTGTAAAAGGATCGCATGACCCCGAGATACTGCAACTGTCATAAATATGAGTCACTTGCCAAATGTCTGAATTTTGATGACATGACCAATGCTTCAATGGTCATAATGTGAAAAATGGTCATAAGCTAGTTTTTTCAGTGCTGTTGTAGCTTTGAACAGTTACTAAATGAACTGTTGTGGAAGACAACCTGAATTTCATTATAAATACCCGAAATACAGAGTTACAACAACAAATTTTGTTTTACACCATGATCCAAAGTCAAACCAAAATTGTAGTCTAGACTATTACATAATAATTTTTTTAAAGTTAAACAATCACTGAAGTTATAAATATCCATTGTTTTGTTTCATATCACTTTTGTGTCACTGTGTAGGGAATTTTACTTTATTTTATTATCCATCCTTTTTAACATATGTATTATTGCAATACAAATGCATTCCTTCTCATTACCTTGAAGTTATTTTTCACTTTGTTATTTGAAATAGCTGTGCTGATTGCAATTTTATTTCCAGAGATTATATAGGACACTAAGCCATAATGAAAAGATCAGCCCCTACGTAAAACAGTAAAAGTATTTATTTATTTATTTATTTAGATTTCACAGTTGGAAAGAAGAATAATGGTCTTTGAAAAAGAATCCAAGAAGCTGAAGGAAATGAATAAAGGGTATGTTAAGGATAAGAGTGAGCTACAACTATTGCTTAAAAAGCATACAGGAGCTGCAGAAGACAGAGAAAAAGAACTGAAGATACTGGTGGAGAAGATGACAGAAGCAAAGAAGGACAAATCAAAGCTCCAGTTAATAATAGATGGATTGGAGAAACAGGTCACCTCTCTGAAGAGGCAAGTGACAGAAGGAAATTTATTAAAAAATGAAAATGTGGATTTGCAGATTCAAGTGAAACAACTACAGAGCTTACTGGACAAAGCAAAAGCAGTCAATTCCAAAGCCACAGTGAAAGCAGCTTGTGGACAATGTAGGTGTAAGAATACAGGTGCCAATGTTAAATTGAAAGCAGGAAAGAAAAAGAGCTTAGTGGAACATCAGTCTCTTTGCAATCAGTCCATCAAGGATATGAGCGGTACACTTGAGAACTTCAGTAAGGACGGCTGGGAAGATATGAGTGAAAGCAGGTACAGCTCTCATTAACTTAGCTCTGTAGAAGGGACACTGTGCATATGTAAAACACTAGCAAATAGAAATTGAATTTCAACTACTGTCGATTTGGTATGCAGAAATAATACTGTCAGAGTCTTTGAAATATCTTGGGAGGTCTTGTTCTGAGTTTATTGACTGAAATTTGCATGCAAAATTAGCCACAACTGCATGAGTATTTGAATAGGTGCCAGGAAACCCAAAAGAAGGCAATGCTTGATTTCTTCTAGTGATGCTATTTTCATGTAGTCATGAGACTTGAAATTGACAGTTTGGCAGGTTGATTTAATTTGCTGGCCCTTTGCATATTCACTGCTGACAGTTAAGGATTCCCAGGCAGGCCTATGAAGTCAGTTTAGTTATCTTGTGACATGTCGACCCAGGAGGAGAAACACTTTTCCCCTTAATTTGGTTAGATAAATTTTGAATGACCTTTCAGCTTGCTACCAGATGTCTACAAGCTATTTTGTGTCCTTTAAATTAAGGACCATCCACACTAATTATTTCATGTACGTTTTATGCATAGTCATTGTACTGAGTGTAACTGAATGATTGTTGAAAATTAGTTTTGTAACTAAGTAGAACTGCGTAGGTTCCTTAGATCCCACAACATAACAAAAGTTATTTCTAAGACTGAAATCAGGTGTTTTATAGTGATTTCATATGAGTGAAAAGTTTCTTATTTTTTACTTGATTCTACTTTATATACATAATTCAGAGACAATCAGAAATATTTTTCAGACAGGCCTTGTACTGAACTTTTTATTGTTCAATTGATATCCTGCCTTTTCTTAAGGAGTCAAAGTAAGTATGTGTGAATGCAGATTTATGGATTTTAAAAAACTCTCAAAATCAAATAACTTTCAACAGCTTACAAGCTCATATAGTACATTAAGATAACTGAAATAATAGCTTTTCTTCCCATTTTGCTTCATGCAAAAACCCTAGCAGGTAGATTTTTTAAAAAAATAACTGGTTTTTCAAAAATCACCCAGTGAGCTTCTACAGTTGAAGTGGACTTTCATCTGGGTTTCTCTAATAGTAGTCCAACACCTAAACTGTACAGTTTATCATTGATACTGTCCACTGTGTTATTTGCTAAATAATTGATTTATTAATACTATTAATTAGTGGTCTCTGGAAAATTGGATATGGTTTAGCTTTTATATAAGATAGAAAGAAAACTTACTAGTTCTCATTTATAGAACTTTAAATTTTGTATACTACTCAAATTCAGTTATTTATAGTTTAAATTCATGAAAAGTTGATTTGTACAACATTTTCTTTAAACAAATGATCTGTTCCATAATTATCTTAATGTGCACAACCATGAATAAACCATAATTGGTTTCAAGGTTTCATCCTCATGACTGCTCCAGCGTATAGAAGGGAAGTGTATACAAAAAGTTCTAAATAATATAAGATTAGACACAATTGTTTGAAGAGATTTTTAGGCATCAACTACTGGCTCCACAACCATAAATTCTTTCTTTGCTATTGCAACCTATTTGTGATTAGAGAAAATAGAAGTATGAAAATAATCCAAATTAAGGAAAGTAGGACTTAATCACTGACTTCACAGTTGGGAGTCTTAAATTCTTATTCTGTCAGTTTAATTAAGCTTTGAGTCCCCATTAAAGCCAATGGTAACTATGATTTAAGATTATTCAATGCTGAAGACTTTTTAAAATAACTTATCACATCTGCTAAATATTAATACAATTGGAGCAAGAGATTCTTCATGCCTCAAATTTCCCAATGGAAAATGTATATGGGATATGTCATACTTCAAACAGATATGCTTTTATATAAAATGTTATCATAATAGCCATGTACATTAACACTGCTCATCAAGAAAATAACTAATGAAATGCAAATATGAAAGATACTGTGTTGCTATTTAATGTATGACTTTGAAATTTAGAAAATTAGAATATCTGTCTATAGTTATTTTTTACGATAAATAATATAATAGAAATAGCAATCGCACTTAGACTAATATATTGCTTCACAGTGCTTTACGGCCCTCTCTAAACACAGAGTCAGCATATTTTCCCCAACAATTTGGGTCGTCATTTTATAGACCTCAGAAAGATGGAAGGCTGAGTCAAATCTTGAGCCAGTGAGGCTTGAACTACTGAATTGCTGGCAGTTGGCAATCTGCAGAATTAACCTGTAATACTGCATTCTAACCCCTGCGCCACCATGGCTCTTCACATAATAAAACATAATATAATAAAAATTAATACAAACATAGAAAACTGGTGAAAGAAAAAGACTCAATGGTTCATCAAGTCTACCCTTTAGTTTTTTCTTTTTTCTTTTTAATTAGTTTATTGTTTTTAATTTTTAATTATTATTTTTTATTTTAATTTTTGTTGGATGATAGACATGTGTTTATCCCAAGCATGGTTAAATCCAGTTACTGATGATTCACCTACTATCTCTATTGAAATTTGGTTCCAGGCTTCCACTATTCTTTTTGTGAAGTAATGCTTCCTCATGTTACTTTTGAGCTTCACTCCTGTCAGTTTGAGATTATGCCCGTGTTCTTGATTTTTGTTTAATATTGAAAATATCACATTCTAGAACCTTACTCACACTCTTAATATATTTAAAGATTTCAGTCATGTCCTTTTCCTCACTTTCCCTTCTGTCTTCCAGGCTGTACATATTCAGAAATATTTTGTCCCTCAAACCTTGCACCATTTTTATTACTTGTCTCTGGACTTGCCCAATCTTATCAATATCTTTTTTTTAAAGTGAGGTCTCCAGAATTGGACACAGTATTCCAAATAGGGTCTGACTAAAACCCCATATAGTGGGATTAGGACTCCTTTTTCTTGCTGGGTAATAATATCAAACCATTAGTGATCACTGGAACTCAGGTTTTTCTCCATCAACTTTTAATATCCTATCCCCGTTTGTCAAACTAAACTTAGAATATAGTCCCTTCTTGTTGGCCTTTTTACTAACTGTTTTAGAGAGGCACCTTTTAATGCCTCTAATATATCCCTGGTCCTGCTTGTAAATACATTTGAAAGGTTGTCATCTCTTGGTGTAGTAGATTGATGGTGGATTATTACTTACTTTTGAGTTTGTGCCCAGGAGATGTTAGTTTGGGATATGTTCTTTAAAGCTGGATATTCATGTTTCTTTTCTGTACCTTAAAGAGAGATCTCATCCATAATGCCAAAATGTATGAAATGGGTTAATTGTAATTGATAACTCCAGCTAACTTTCCTTTGGGATAAAGTGCTTCCAATTGGAAGCTTATTGTCAAGGGTACACTGTAGACTATAGTCTATATGTCACTACCAGCTTGACTGACATACCAATTATCATTAATGATCAGGGACCTGATGCTCGTTTCAGCAAGCTCAGTACCAAGCATAGCTTTTTAGCAGTCGTTACTATAATCAATCCACCAACTCTAAACTTATCCCTCAGCTTTTTGCAATTGAAGAAAAAGGAAAATAAGAATTATACTAAACCTTCACTTCTTCTAAAATTAATTGTTTGCAACTAGATTTGCCTATTGTGAAATTTCTTCTTTAGAGCCATCAATGATATAGATTTAAAAGTTTGTTGCTACCCATGCCAAATTTGTCATTGCCAAACTTGAATTGGTCCTAACAATGGATATTGTTCTGCACAACATATATCCTGCAGGTTTTAAAAAAAAACTGAGTTTTTTTTAAAGAAGCCAATAAATTCATCGTTGTTGCCCCCAAAATATTTTTTTTTTGCCTCCAGTGCTCCTAGGCCTCATTGCCACCACCAGTTCCAGTTCTGTGGCTGCCTCACTAGCTGAATAGTTGATCAGTGAACCAAGTACTCCTGTATGACCTGCAATTATTTTTAATTTATTGGTATGATCTCCTTCTCCTCTACAAATCATAAAGCCTGTTACATACATATTAGGGGTGACTATGGGAGAACCAGTTTGGTATAGTATTTAAGGTATCAGGCTAGAAACTGGGAGATTAGGGAGTTCTAGTCCTGCCTTAGGCACAATTTCATCTGGATGACCTTGGACCAGTCACTTGCTCTCAGCCGTAGGAAGCAGACAATGGCAAACCACTTCTGAGATCTTGACAAGATAATTGCTACCTATGGTCAAACCCCTATGGTCTCTTTTTTATGAGGAGATTAGAGTTTATAGGTTCTCTCTTTTTGAGCTCATTCTTTCCTGCTTTCAGAATTCCAAGCATTCCCAGTGTTATATTCTGTTTCAAGAAACAAGTGTCACAAATGCTGCTCAGGAAAGGAAAATAACATACTTCATTCAGCACTCTGAGCTAAGTAAATCAGGAAATTAAGACATACCACAAAATATGTCCAGTATACTATATCTCTATATCTATCTATATCTATCTATCTATCTATCTATCTATCTATCTATCTATCTATCTAT